GCCCCGGGGCCGCCGCCCGCCCGCCCGGCCCAGGGACGAAAACCCGCGTCGGCCGCACCAGGGCCCGGGGGGCGGGGTGCCCACAGACACAGGCTCTGCGTGAGCCCCAGCTGAAGCCGGGGCTCGGGGTTCGAACCCCAATCCCGCCACACACCGCCAATCAACTGCGGCAGGAAGCCGGCGGGATCTGCCACGAACGCTGGGACCCGAGGGCCCCGGGCAGCACCGCAGCCGCGCTCTCCCACACTGCGGCTGCGCCCCTTCACCCCAGGCCCTCCCGGGCCCTGGCGCCCTACCCGCCTCCTGTCTTCGGGGCCTTCTGGGAGTGGGTGCTGCGGCGTCGTGAGGTCGGAGCCTCCCCTGCTCCTGGCTGAGCAGTGTTCCGCAGCCGTGGACCGCTCTATGGCTTCATGGGCCCTGGGGGAAGCGGCTTGCTCCTACATCTTGGCCTTTGGGAATCAGGCCGATAGCAAGGTGGGATTTCAGCTTTTTGGGTGCATACCCAGTGGTTGGAATGGATGGAGCTTTGAGAGCCCTGTGTGCGCAGGCGCTGGGAGAGGGGCAGGACCTGTGTATGGCGGGGCCTGCGCTTCCCACGGAGCCTCCCTGCGGCCCCCATGCTGGGCTTGGAGGAGCTGCCTGACCCGCGCCCCACGGCCCCCACAGGTACCTTCCCACCCAGCCGACTCAGCCATTCCATTTTGTTCGTGTCCATCAGGCTTAGGGCCCGTGGGTGTGGGGGAGGGGACCATCATGGTTGCAACTCCTCCCCTTCTCCCAAGGAGAAATAGGGGCCGGGAAAGGAACAGGATGGGCCAGTAGGGACCAGTTTAGATCAGCCCGTAGTGGGAGAGCAAGTGAGGGAGGGAGGCCCGGGAAGGAGCTATGGTGGTTAATTGAGGGCCTAGCACCCAAGGCAGGTGGCAGAGCCCATGCGAAGATCCTGGGGCATAGGTCTGGGGGGGTGGCTCGGTGGTAGAGCGCTTGCCTTGCATGCGTGAGGCCCTGGGTTCCATTCCTGTGCACCACAAAAGCAGAAAAAGCCGGAAGTGGCGCTGTGGCTCAAGTGGTAGAGCGCTAGCCTTGAGCTGAAGAGCTGAGAGACAGCGCCCAGGCCCAGAGTTCAGGCCCCAGGACCGGCAAAAAAAAAAAAAAGATCCTGGGGCAGAAGGAAGCCTGGAGGAGCAGTGAGGAGGCCCCCACGGTGGCTGGAGCGGAGGGAGGGAGGGGCAGAGGCAGGAGGGGACAGAACTGGACTTGCAGGGCCTTGGTGGGCTGCTGGGAGGATTGGGCTTGACCCTGAGGGAGACCCTGCAGGGCTGTGGGCAGAGGAGAGACCTGACTTAGTGCTCACAGGTGGCCCCTATGGGAGGACACTTGAGGGGGTGAGGATGGAGTTGGGGACCCGGCATTGTGACAGCTGCCCCAGGTGGTGGGAGAGTGCGGCTGGATGAGGTGTGCAGGGGGAGTCTTGATTGGAAAGTGGGTGCTGGGAAGGGACCTGGCCAAGACTGATGCTGGGGACGAGTGTCATGCCCCACGGTGTCCAGCAGGTGTCACCCAAAGCAACCTCTGGCCTCTGCCCATTCTTGCCACATTCTTCTGTGGAACAGCCAAGTTCCCATCGTCCTAGTTCTGAGCCAGGCAGCCAGGTTCGGTGGGCACGCCTGCCCAGAATGTGGAGGCCAAGGCAAAAGGACCTGGGTTCAAGGCCAGTCTGGGCCTGGAATAACAACAAAAAGAGTTTGGCTTTCTCAGTGCTTTCTTCATTGGCACTGAAGCTGGGCGCTGGTGGCTCAAGCCTGTCATCCTAGCTACTCAGGAGGCTGAGTCGGGGATCACAGTTTGAAGTCAGCCTGGGTAGAATAATACCCGCGAGATCTCCAATAAACTACTCAAACATGCTGGAAGGGGTGCAGTGGCTCAAGGGATAGAGCGCTAACCTTGAGCACAGAGGCCCAGAGACAGCGCCCAAGTCCTGAGTTCAAGCCCCAGGACTGCCAATAATAATAATAAATGAATAGAAAAATGTTCCCTGGAAATAACAATAAATCCACACCTTTCTGCCCAGATTACACCCAAAGCAAGAAGAAACAAAGGGGATGGGGACATGTAGCTAACAAGACCTCCACGGGAGCCAGCCCCGCTCACCCCACAGAAATGAGCCCTAAAAAACGGGAATTCAGAGCCTTGCAACTGCTAGCCTGGGTCCCCTCTCCCGCTCTGGCCACGCCTCCTCTGCTCGGGCCACGCCCTCGACAAGTTTGGCAACACCCACCTCGCTGAGCCACGCCCTATGGCTGAGCCACACCCTCTGGCCGGAGTCACACCCCCGCACTGGAGCCACGCCCACACTGCCCGAGCCACGCCCCCTCGCAGCTGAGTCACACCTCCAAGTCCCTGCTTTTGCATTCGTTACCTTGGAGGTAGGGTCTCCCTTTAGGATGGCAGCGATCGGCTTGAGCCACGTCCCCCAAGCCTTTCTGCTTTCCTTGTTTTTAGGATGGGGTCTCTCACAGTTATGCCTGAAGAAGCCTGGGACCGCGATCCTCTTATTTATGCTTTCCAGTTAGCCAGGATGACAGGTTCAAAGGAGACCCTCTCCCCGCCTCTGCTTCCTGAGCGCTGAGGCCTTGTGGCTGCCACTTGGGCCGTGTGTCTGTGTGGTTTTCTTTTGTTTCGTTAGAGTTCCAGCTGGGGACATGTGGTTCAAGAGATAGAAGGCAGGTCTAGCAACCACAGGGCACTGAGTTCAAGCCCTTGTACTACCAAAAAAAAAAAAGAGAGAGAGAGAGAAAATCCCTGCCCATGTCCCTCACCCTGTGTAATCAAATGAACTCCTGATACATTACACAACCCCACGTGGACAGGAAGCAGCCTGGCCTGTTTGGGGAACTAGAGAGAGTTTCTTCTTACAAGAGGAAAACCAACCGGAGGCCCCTAGGCTGGTGCTGTTTATGCTGAGGCCAGAATTCTGGGCGCCATAGAAAGTGTTAGAGAGTCTCATCTAGGGTCAGCCTAGCTACTCAGGAATCCGAGAGCTGAGGATCATGGTTCAAAGCCAGCCCAGGCAGGAAACTCCCTGAGACTCTTATCTCCAATGAACCACCAGAAAACCAGAAGTGGCTCAAGTGGTAGAGCACTCGTCTTGAACTGAAGAGCTGAGAGACAGCGCCCAGAGTTCTGGCCCCCTAACCAACAGAAGAAAGAGAAGGTGGAGGGGAGGAGGAGGGGAGACTATCACTGGAGTGGTCAGCCAGGGCAGGAGTTAGGAGGGGCCCGGAGTCCCCAGCCTGCTCCTCAGCCAGACTGCCTGCCAGATCCTCCAGCTACTTCTGTCCAGTCTCCTGGGTGGGGGTGATGGGCTGACCCCAGTGACCCCCTTCCTCATGCATCTACAGCAGGAAAACCGCGCCTTTATCCACCAGCCACCAGCCTCGGTGGGGAGGAAGGGAGAGGCAGCTGTTGTCAACGGCTGTGTGGCTGTGGGCACGCACCCCCCGCCTCTGAGCCCTGCAGGACTTCCTCGGTGAGGGCCTCGGCCCTCCACATGGTGTGTGAACCTCTGAGCACGGCTGGGGAGCAGGGCTCTCTAGGGGTCAGGGAGAGAAAGATGTTTTTGTTTTGTTTTGTTTTGTTTTGCCTGTCCCGAGACTTGAACTCAGGGCTTAGACTCTGCTTTTCTTTGGCTCTACCATTTGAGCTGCAGCTCCGATTGTAATTTATTGGAGATCAGCATCTCACGGACTTTTCCCGCCCTGGGCTGGCTTTGAACCCCGATCCTCAGAGCTCAGCCTCCGGGTAGGCAGGCTGACAGGCGAGAACCACTGGTGGCTGGCAGAAAGGCATTTTAATCCAGAACTTTCCACAGCTTCTCAAGGGAGCAGACATGATGATGATTTGCTGGGGCTGGAGACAGGTTTCTTCTCAGGGGGTTTAAAAGGGGGGAGGGGAGACGTGTCTAGGGATCTGTGGGAGATGGGCCTTGCTTGGCAATGACCCTTTGACCCCCAGACTCAACTTGAAATCCTTTTATTCCCTGTGGGCCTGTGTCGCAAAGGCTAAGTCCAGGCCCCTTTCTTCACCCCCTTATTTCAGGCCACACCCCAACTTCTCTGCTTATTTTTCCCCCAAGTTTCTCATCACCCAACAGGCTGTGTGTGTGTGTGTGTGTGTGTGTATGTGTTTAAAGACTTGAGCATTCCCTCTCTGTCTCCCTAATTATAATGCCAGACACTTTTGTCATTGGCTGGACAGACCAGAACCCTGCCTGGTAAACCGTAGGCGCCCTATGAATGTACACCGAGGGAAGGCACAGCCCCCTCCCCAACTCTGCACATTGAGCCTCTGGATCCCTATGGGTGAGAGACAAGTTACCCAAGGCTCTGTTCTGTCCCTGGCCACGGCCCCCTAGGAAGTGACTCCCTGCCTGGCTCCCTGCCTCAGTTTCCCCATCTGTAGGAGGAGTGGGAAGAGGGGTAGAGGATGATTAGAGCAAGCTCAGTTAGAGCCGGGGGAAGAGGCCTGGCCCCGGCCCCCCTGGTTCCTAATTGGCTGGGAACAGGGAGTAGGGGGCAGCTCAGGAGGAGGAAGGAGGCTGCAGCTGCCTGCTGGGGGACCCTGGGCTTTGGGGGTGCCTGCTCCGTGCCCTGCCCTCCCCCTGGCCTCCAGCCTTTTGCCGCCAACCTGTTGGTCCGGGTTCTGGGCAGGTTGGAGGTGGGCGGGAGCCCCGAACCTCCCCGCCTCCAGCCTCCACCCGTCCCCACCCTGTTCCCAGCACGCCCCGTCTCCCTCACACGGGCCTGGCCCAGCCTCCCTCCAGACAGGAGAGGGGTTGGGGAGTCTCTGAGGGTGGACCTCGAGAACAAAGCAGGCAGAGGGGCCGGGGCAGGGTGTGTGTGTGTTGGGGGGCCCAGCCCTGGCCATCAGGGGGGGCCCAGGGGGGCCATGCCTCCTGGCGCCCTGTGAGGCCGGCACCATGGCCCGCTCGCTGGGCTCGCTCACCGGCGCCTGCTGCCCCTGGTGTCTCTCGGAGGACGAGCGCACGGCCGCCAGGATCGACCAGGAGATCAACAAGATCCTTCTAGAACAGAAGAGGCAGGATCGTGGGGAGCTGAAGCTCCTGCTTCTGGGTGAGTGTTGGGCGGGGGGCAGTGGAATCAGAGTGGGGGTGTGTGGAGGGCCAGGCAGGCAAGGGGAGGGAGATGGTGGTCCGGACTTAACACCAGACCAGAGACCCATTTTTCGGTTAGCAACACACAGGCACAGGAAAGGCAGCTTCCTAACCCTGTGCCACACACAGGCTGGGCCAGGGACTAGGCCCGGCCTGGCGGGGCCCGGGCCACCCAGCAGGCCCAACACGCCGGACTGGCCTGTGGTATGTGCCTAAGGGGGATGAGCCGGGGAGCCGGGATGCTGGCCCGGCCCCATGGGGCACCGCAAGCTGTGAAGGCTTGATGACTGACTTATTCATTCATTCATTCATTCCCTTGTTCCGCCCTTTGAGTTTTGGTTCATTGGAGATTAAGAGTCTCTGGAGCTTTCCTGTGCTGGCTTGGCTTTGAACTGCCATCCTCAGATCTCAGCCTGCTGAGTGGCCAGGCGGGAGCCGCTGCATCAGGCTCAGGGTGTGACGTCTCCAAGGTCGGCGCTGTGCAACTTCGGGATGTTGCTGCCTCCGGGCCTCAGTTTCCCCATCCTTGGGTTCCCCTCACATCCCCACCCAGGCGAATAAGATCCCTCACCTACACACACACACACCCCCCACCAACACAGAGGGGCTCCCCGGTTTCCCTGAGCCCTGGCAGGGGTGGGAGGAGACCCGGAGTTCCTGGCATGGGATGGGCCACCCCTAGAGGAAGTGGAGATGGAAGGGGAACCCACAAAGATGGCACTACAGGTCGCCCCAACTCTAGCCTTAATCCCCCTCGTTAAACCAGGCCCCGTCCCCCCAAAATGGTGTGTGTGTGTGTGTGTGTGTGTGCATATGCGCTTTCTTTCATTTTTTAGCAACTTCCGAGACCACCAGCTTGCACGTTTTTATTGTCGCCCCCATAATGAAAGGTTTTAGTTGTTGTTTTCCTTTCGGTGGTTCTGAGGTTTGAATTCCGTCCCTTTGCGCCCATTAGGCAGGTGCTCTTCCATGTGAGCCACGCTCCCAGCCCCAAGTCTGGAAACTATATAATGAAAACAATGTTGTTGTTGTTTTTCCCAGTAGATAGCCAGCTCTCCAAGGGCTGGGAGCAGTGGCTCACACCTCTAATCCCAGCTAGTGTGGAGGTAGAGAGCAGGAGGATGGTGGTTTGAGGATAGGCAGGGCAGTGCCAGTGCTCAGGCCCTGAGTTCAAGTCTCAGTATCAGTGCACACACAGACACCCACAGACACGACGAAATAAGTAGGTCTTCATAGAAAGGCACTCTCGAGTCAGCGCACTACTGCGCACAACATCTGTGTATTCTGATGTGTTGCACTTCGTCTCAGTTGGTCCTTTGTGATTTTACCCCTTCTCCCATGCAGGGAGGGGATTGATCCATTTGAACAATGTGTTCCCTTCCCTACCACAGGGCCTTTGCACCTGCCCTGTCAAGACCTCTCGGTCTCCTGGCTCCAGCCATTGCACCGCTGGTCCTTTCACCCCATGGGCAATTCAGCCCAAGGGCCTCCTCTTGAGAGAGCAATTGTTTGGCTCCTAACCATTCTCTGTCCAAAGTCCCCCTCATGGCCTCTCCCCTGTGCTAGGAACTGATTTGTGTCATTGCTTGTCCATCTCCAGACAGGGTTTGTATCCTTTTCCTCCTACTTCCTTTTTTTCTTTGGTGCCCGTCCTGGGGCTTGAACTCAGGGCCTGGGCACTGCCCCTGAGCTTCTTGCACAAGACCAGTGCTCTACCTCTTGAGCCACAGCGCCACTTCCAGCTTTTCTTGGTGGTTTGTTGGAGGTTCAGAGTCTCATGGACTTGCCTGCCCGGGGCTGGCTCTGAACTGTGATCCTCAGATCTCAGCCTCCTGAGGAGCTAGAACGACAGGTGTGTGTGGGGGGGGCACTGGCACCCGGCTCCGGTCTGTCTTTGTGTTCTGAGCACAGGACACAGGTCCAGGGCGAGTCTGGTATACAGCAGGTACTTCATACATGCATACAACTAAAGAAATGATTGAACTGTCCGGTCAGGAGGTGTGTGTGCAGAATGTTCCCGAACCAGAGGCCGTGCCATGCCTAGTCAGCTCTAAATCGGGGAACCCCTTCTCTGCCTGGGCTCCGGAAGGAGCTGTCTGTGCCCTCAGGCTCTGGGGGGGGTGCAGACCCGCCCAGCCCCTTCCTGCCTCTGCCTTGCCCTCCCCCACTCCCCAAAACAGGAATTGAATCCAAAGGTTTTGCTTATTTATTTATTTTTAATTTCCTGGGTGGGGGAGATATTTTGGGGAAGCTGTTGAGGGGACTCTGGGTTGAGGGGAACATGGGGGGGCTCTGTGCCTGGCATCACCATCTCTGGCAGGGGCCACAAGAAAGAACCCCAACACAGACAGGGAAACTGAGGCTCGGGGACATGTTATGATTTTGCCAGGCAGTTTAGTCACTTGCTGCCCCAGGGCCACCCAAGCCTGGATACTGTTGCTCTATCACCCCGTTTTCTGGGGCTCGTGCTGGATTCTCGTGATTTAGGAGGGGACCCGGCAGGGCTCACCCCGCTTTTCCAGGCATCTACCTGTTTTCCTCTCCCACTCACCAGAGGAAGAAGCGCTCCTCCCCCCAGGTGGGAAAGCCCCCCCCCCACCAGTAAGTACCTGGTACCCCTTCCTTTGGTGGCTTCCCAAAACAGACTTAGATCACCCCACTTCTGCCCAAGGGCTGGAAGCCCCCCCTCTACCCCATGACAGGGTTGACTGGAACATTCAGACTCTAGTCATGATGCGTTCATGACTCATGCGGTCTGTGTTGTGGGGGATAGGGAAGAGCACCCCGAGTTTTTGTCTTTACTGAAAGAAAAAAAAAAGAAGAGAAAGAAATCAGATCAACTTCACTAAATGAAGTCAGCTGTTCTCTGGGGAACACTTTGGGCTCTTCTCTTTCTTGTGGGGAGATCTAAGAATTTGGAGGCCAGGCACCAGTGGCTCACACCTTTCATCCTTGCTACACAAGAGGCTGAGATCTGAGGACTGTGGTTCGAAGCCAGCCCATGCAGGAAAGTCTGTGAGACTCTTATCTCCCATGAACCAGCAAGAAAAGAAAAAAGCCAGACAGGGAAACTGGGCGCCGGTGGCTCACGCCTGTCATCCTAGCTACTCAGGAGGCTGAGATCTGAGGTTCACAGTTCAGAGCCAGCCTAGGCAGGAAATTCTGTGAGACTCCTATCTCCAATGAATCACAGAAAAAAGCTAGAAGTGACGCTGTGGCTCAAGTGGTAGAACAACACTAGCCTTGAGCAAAAGGAGCTCAGGGAAAGTTCCAGGCCCAGAGTTCAAGCTTTAGGACTGGCAAAAAAGAAGCCAGACTTGGAGCTGTGGTTCAACAGGTAGAGTGCCAACCTTGAACAAAAAAAAGGCTAAAGCTAAAGGACAGCACCCAGGCCCAGTTCAAGCCCCAGGTCTCAAAATCCAGGGCATGGGCTCTGGACTCAGAACTGGTTTGAGTCCCAGCTCAAGGCAATGTCTACACTGCCCCCATGACTCAGTTTCCCCATATCAAATGGTCAAGAGCCTTTGTCCATGGTGGTGAGGTTCAGCAGGATGCGCTCCTGGCGGCCTCCGGGGGCCCCTTGGCCGTCAGGAGCCCCCGTCCTGGGAGCTGCCCTGGGGTCCCTCTTGGGAACCTTTCGGACATGGCGTGGGAGGCGCTGGTCTCAGTCACCGTCACAGTCATTCGTGGCTTTTGCTGTGTCCTGGAAGATCAGAGTCTCATGGACTTTCCCGCCCTGGATGGCTTCAAACCCAGGTCCTCAGATCTCAAGATTACAGGTGTGAGCCACATAGGTAATTGATTGTCACACCTAGGTGTGAAAAATGTGTGTTACACTTTTTGGTGCTAAGATGGGCCCTGAGGCCTCACAGAGCCTGAGCAGACGCTCTGCACAGCCCTGCCCTCCCCCCTACAACGGTTCTGTTTTTGAGCCACCTGAATTTTCTTCCTTCCTGGGCCATTTCTAGGCTTGATGTTCCTCTACCCAAGAGCAAGGATCAGTTGGAGGCGTGGCTTCACCTTGGGGGCGTGGTGAAAGCTCCGGAGGCGTGGCTCTAGTGCCGGGGCGTGGCCCATGCGGTGGGGGCGTGGCTCTAGTGCCAGGGCATGGTCAAAGCGATAGGGCGTGGCTCTAGTACTGGGGCGTGGTCAAAGCAATAGGGGCGTGGCTCTGTTGCTGGGGCGTGGCCAATGTGGTGGGGGCGTGGCTCTAGTGGGAGAGAGCCTATCTATCTGGCAAGTGCAAGGCCCTGAGTTCGAATCCTACCACCACCAAAAGAAAAAGAAAATGATGGAAGAACCGTACCAATAGCCATCAGGGCAGGAGATCAGTCCACGCTGGAGACACGCCCGCAGCTGACCTGCCTGATTCTCACTGATTGTCCCCATCCCCCGCCACCCTCTCCCCAAATGGCCTTGGCAGAAATAGACTTGCTTGGAACTTGGGAGTCCAAGAAATCATGACAGGGAAACTGAGGCCCGCAGAGTGCAGGTAGCCACCCCGGATCTTGTCTATGTGCTCCTCAGAGGTGTGGAGCTCTGCATGTGAGGTGGGGGGGTGACTGTCCAGAGCCCCTCCCCTCCCTTCCCCTCCTCCTCCTCTCCTCCCCTCCCCTCCCTCCTCCACTCCTGTTTCCTCTTTCTGGGACACCAGGCCACCCCTTCCCCTTTTTGACTATGGACTCCAGTTCCTCCAGCATTAGACACCCCCCCAGGAGAGCCAGGAGCCCTGTCTGGACCCCTCCTACCCCCCCGTGGCAGTCCCCCGCAGGACTCCCAGATCCCAGTTTTCAGCTAGGAACAGAAAGGCAGGTCAAGGCCAGGGCTCCACGCCAGGGCCTGTGGTCTCCCCTTGCTGGACTTTCCTCCTGAGCTTCGCAGAACTTTCTCCTGTCCCCACCCCAGCATGACTTAGAGGTTCTGTCCCCCAAATACCCCTTAAATATGCCCCTGCCTCCTCCAGGGTCAAAGCTCAAGTTCTTCCTGTAGCCCCCCCCCCAGGGTCCTTCACCACCCACCCCGGGTCCTCCTCCCCCCTCCAGCCCTAGCTCCCTCTGATCCAGCCACACAGCCTCCTCCATCTTCCTCCCACATGCCAGGCTCTCTCCTACCCCAGGGCCTTTGCACGAGCTGTGCCCTCTGTCTGGAGTTCTGTTCTTCCACATGCCACCTTCAAATCTGAATCCTGAAATCCACCTCCACCCCGAGGCCTCCTCTGCCCACTGAGCTAAGGAAGTCACCAAATGGCTGAGCTCTGTCCTTACTTTTTATGCCTTCAAGAAAGAATGAAATGATGCATGTAAACAATGAATCCAGATCAACACTCAGAGACATTCTCCTTTACCTTCCTCCCCTGCCTGCTTCTTAGAACAATCTCAAGCAGGTTTCTTTGTTCTTTGTGCTGTGATACCTAACACGCTCTTGTTTTCCTTCCTGTCATTCTGTTTCCGAGGTGCTGAGGATTGAACCTAGGGCCTCTTCCTGACTAAACAGTGCTCTGCCCCTTTTCTACCTTGGTTATCTTTGAGGTAGAGTCTTGCTTTATGCCTAGGACAGCCTGGGCTGCTTGTGTTTCCCTATGTCACTGGGGATGACAGGCAGGTACTACCATGCCCAGCCACTGGTTGAGATAGAGTCTCTCTTGGAATTTTCTTTTGTCTGGGCTGGCCCCAAAAGGCAATCTGATCTCAGATTCCTGCATAGCTAGGATTACAGGCATGATCCACTTTCCCTGACTCCTTTCAGTTGGTTTTAGTTGCTGTTGCTGTTATTGTTTTATTTTTGTGCCCGTTCTGGTGCTTGAACTCAGGTCCTGGGTGCTGTCCCTGAGCTTTTTCACTCAAGGCTGGTGCTCGACTACTTGAGCCACAGCTCCACTTTAGGCTTCGTGGTGGTTCATTGGAGAGAAGTGTCATGTACTTTTGGGGCTGGGCACTGGTGGCTGGTGGCTCACGCCTGTCATCCCAGCTACCCAGGAGGCTGAGATCCGAGGATCAAAGAGATCGCGGATCAACCGAGATCGCGGTTCAAAGTCAACATTGGCAGGAAAGTGCATGAGACTCTGATCTCCAATTAACCATCACCAAGTGCTAGTCTTGAGTTTCCAGACCCTGAATTCAAGCCTCAGGATGGGCACCATTTAAAAAAAAAGGAGTCACATACTTTCCTAGCTGGGCTGGCTTTGAACAACAGGCCTCAGATCCTAGCTTCCTGAGGAGCCAGGATTACAGGCGTGAGCCACAGCACCTGCTTCCTTTTACCGAGTCTCAGAACTCTTCTGTGTGCACCAAAGCAAAAACCTTCGCTGCCTAAATTGGGCTGAGGGCTCTTGTGTGTCCCTGTCTCCTCTACCTCCACCCAGGGGGCCCAGGATGGGGAAACTGAGGCTCCGAGAGGCAAAGACAAAGTCTCTGGCCCAGGATCACACCGCAGCCGGTGGCATCTCAGCCCTCGCTGGCCGAGCTGGTGCCCAGAGCCGGGCATGGCTGACATGTTGGTTCCCCCCCCTCCCCCCTCTGCCCCTCCGTTGTCTCCAGGGCCAGGGGAGAGCGGGAAGAGCACGTTCATCAAGCAGATGCGAATCATCCATGGGGCGGGCTACTCGGAGGAGGACCGCAAGGCTTTCCGGTCGCTTGTCTACCAGAACATCTTCATGTCCATGCAGGCCATGATTGACGCCATGGACCGGCTGCAGATCAGCTTCAGCAAGCCCGAGAGCAAGGTGAACCTGGGGAGCCAGGGAGGTGGGGGGCGGGCCTCCCCCCAGGACCAGACCCTGAGGATCTCCTGTGATCTGGTGGAAGTCTGAGGATGTCTGAGATTGGAATGTGACCCGATAGAGATCTGGGTTCCCGTGTCTGCCCCCACTTCCCCCCACCCCAGGGCAGATGTGGGAATTTTGCAAGAACTTGAAAAAGAGCCCCAGCTCCTTCAGGCAAACTCCTGGGGAGTTGGGGATCAGGAAGACCAAGAACCCAGACCAGCTCAGGCAAGACAAAAATATGTTGGTGAGACTTCATCTTAACCAGTACACGGGGTATGGTGGCACACGCCTGCCATCCCAGCTATGCAGGACGCATCAACAGGGAGTCACAGTCAAGCCACTGCAGGCAACAAAAACAAGACCCTCACTCAAATAAATAACCAGAGCATCGGGGTGCCGGCAGCTCTCGCATATAATCCTTGCTGTGCTGGAGGCTGAGATCTGAGGATTCCAGTTTGAAGCCAGCCCAGGCAGAAGAGTCCAGGAGACTTATTTATAATTAAACACACACACACACACACACACACACACGGTGGAAATAAGAGTGTGGTTCAACTGGTAGAGCACTAACCATGAGCAAAATGCTCAGGGAAAATGCCCAGGACCTCAGTTCAAGCTTCAGGTCAGGCAAAAAAAAAAAAACCCTGCAAACAGCCGGGCACCGGTGTCTCCCGCCTGTCATCCTAGCTACTCAGGAGGCTGAGATCTGAGGATCTCGGTTCAAAGCCAGCCCCGGGCAGACACATCTGAGCCACTCCTGTCTCCAATGAACCAACAAAAGGCCAGAAAGCTGAGGTGTGGCTCAAACTGTAGAGGTCCAGCCTGGAGAAAACAAGGAGATGAGGCTCTGAGTTTGAGTCCCCATCCATAAAAAAGGCAGTTTCTGAAGCACAGGCATGCTGGCAGGTGATACTCTTCTTTAAGTCTCATAATCGCCCTCCAAGGAGAGAAAGAGAGACTGACATGAGCACTGTCTGGCTGGGGATACACAAGCCACGGTCTAAGGGCAAAAATAAATCCTCACTTTCCAAACCACCACCCTACCCGACCGCTAAAAAAAGTAACTTCACTGGATGCCCCCTACCCCCTCACCCCCTCCAGCTGCTCCTGGGGGCCGCTCAGGCCTGACGCCCCACCGCCTCACCAGACCCAGCCTGAGCTCATGGCAGTGAATGAGGCCAGCGACTTGGGGGCATAGCTGAGGGTCCCCCTCTTCCACGCATCCACTTTCCTCTGTCTGGGGCTTGAACTCTGGGCCTGGCAGCTGTCCCTAAGCTCTTCAGCTCAAGGCGGGCGCTCCACCGCTTGAGCCACAGCGCCATTTCAGTTTTGGAGTGGTTTTTGAAGAGTCTCAGGGACTTTCCTGCCTGGGCTGGCTTTGAACCTCGATCCTCAGATCTCAGTCTCCTGAGTAGCCTCCTGTGCCTCCCACCTTCCACTCCACCCCCACCCCCTCCACCTCAAAGCAGTCAGGGATGAGGCAGAGTCTGCTTAGCACCCATTGGGGTGATCCTTAACCTGTCATTGTTCTACCCCAGCTGGCCAAAGCATTGCCCTCTGCTGCCTCTTTGTGCTGTGGTATGACACAGACGTCTCCTGGCCCTGGACTGGGGCCAAGAGAAGCCCAGAGGAACATTGCTGTTGGGGTGTTGAAGGGTGAATAGGAGTTCACTAGTTCCAGCTGTCAAGGCACAGCCTTTCCTTCTGTGCATCAGCGATTGCTTGGATATTGGACCAGGAAGGGATGTGCCGGGGGTCCGTGCGTCCCGAGAGAGAAAGCCAGGCAGAGGGAGAGGATTTTAGGGACAGGCAGACAGGGCTGCAGGGGGGTCTCGGCGCTCCCGCAGGCTGCCTAACCCTCATCCGCCCGCCTCCCTCCGCAGCACCACGCCAGCCTGGTCATGAGCCAGGACCCTTACAAGGTGACCACGTTCGAGAAGCGCTTTGCCCTGGCCATGCAGAGCCTGTGGCGGGACGCGGGCATCCGGGCCTGCTATGAGCGCAGGCGGGAATTCCACCTGCTGGACTCCGCGGTGTAGTGAGTCTGCGCGCACGGTGGGCCTGGGGTGTGGGCGGGGCCATGTGGAGGATAGGTGGGCGGGGACACGGCAAAGCCAATCTGTTGTAAGGGCGTGGCCCGTGTCTGGGGCGTGCCCATGGTATCAGATTACTGTGTGAGCAGGACCAATAGGAGCCGGGTACAGCCGTGAAGGCGGATATGTGGGTGGGGCTTTGCTTCGGCTAGGCTGCTGTGTGGACGTGACCAGGGTCGAGTGGGCGTGGTCACGGTCTGGGGGCGGGGCGACAGCGATATGAGATTGCTGTGTGAGGGGAGCACATGTGGGTGGGGCCATGGCTCTGCTAGGTTATGTAGGGCGTGGGCAGCGTTAAATGGGCGTGGTCACAGTCTTGGGGCGGGGTCAGACTGCTGTCTGGGTGTGGCCAGTACCAAATTGGGACTAGATCTGGGGGCGGGGCCGTAGTAAGACCAGTGTCTGTGGGCGGAGTCAGTGCCCGGTGGGCGGGCCTCACTGTGTGGGTGGGGCTACGATAGGGGCCTACCCCTGTCGGGGCGTGGTCAGCATGTGGTTGGAGGCCAGGTTGGTTGGCCCTCCACTTGGGGTGGGGCGCAGTGCCAAGGTAGGCGTGGCCTGGGGATACAGAGGGGTGGGGTAGGACAGGAGCAGCGTGGAGGAGGGACCGCGGTGGGTGTGGCCAGTGGGCGTGGCCGGAGGGCGTGGCCAGGGGCGACCCAGCTAGTGGTTCCACACCGGCTGCCCGGCTCTGCTCGGGCAGCTCCTCCCGGACCTGACCGCGGCCTGCTTCTTCCGCAGTTACCTGTCGCACCTGGAGCGGATCACCGAGGAGGGCTACGTGCCCACCGCGCAGGACGTGCTGAGGAGCCGCATGCCCACCACCGGCATCAAGGAGTACTGCTTCTCCGTGCAGAAAACCAACCTGCGGTGAGTGCCCGACTGGGCCTGGCCTGGGGCAGGCTTATGTCAGAGGGACAAAGGGGCAGGGCTGTAAGGGATGCAGAGGAGTTTTTCTGGAGGATGACTAGGAGTTCATTAGTCCCAACTCTCAAGGAGCTGCTGCAGCGGAGAAACAGGAAGTCTTTGGGATGCGGGAGCTCGGAGCTCAAGTCGTCATCATCTGGGTGGGTCTGGAGTGAAGGTGGAATGTCAGAACATTCTAGAAGGGGCAAAAAAGGGCTGGTTACTGGGCACGGATGATTAGAGTCCGTAGGATGGCATTTGAGGGGATGATGCAAAGATTATTTCTGACACAGAGAAGATAAGGTGAGCTAAGTGTGCAAATTAGTGCACAGCCAGCCGGAAGTAGAGCTGTGGCTCAAGTGAGAGAGCACTAACTGTGAGTTTAAAAAAAGCTCAGGGACTGCATCCAGGCACTGAGTTCAAATTCCAGGACCCAGTAAAAATAAGTAAATAAAATCGCATAGCTGAGCATGGTGGCTCCTACCTGTAATGCCTACTGGGAAGGCTAAGGCTGGGAAGACCAAGGTTATCAGCCTAGGGAAAAAGTTCACGAGATCCCTGTCTCAACCAATTAAAAGCTGGGAATAATAGCCCACTCCTCTATCCCATCCGTATAGGAAGTATAAACTGGAATAAATAGGAGGGTTAAGGTCTGTGTCAACCTGGGACAAAAAGGAAAACTATTGCTGGGTGTCAGTGACTCAGGCCCGTCATCCTAGCTACTCAGGAGGCTGAGATCTGAGGATCACGGTGCAAAGCCAGCCTGGGCAGGAAAGTCCGAGAGACTCTTATCTCCAATAAACAATTCAGAAAACCAGAAGTGGTGCTGTGGCTCAAGTGGTAAAGCGCTCACCTTGAGCTGAAGAACTGAAGAGCTGAGGGACAGCGCCCAGGCCTAGAGTTCAAGCCCCACGATGACCAGAGGAAAAAAAAAGGACAAAAGCCAACCACTGGTGGCTCACACCTATAATCCTAGCCACTCAGGAAGATCATGGTTCAAAACCAGCCTAGGCAAGAAAGATTTCTTTTATCTCCAATTAACCAGAAGTGGTGCTGTGGTTCAAGTAGTAGAGCACTAGCCTTGAGCAAAACCTCAGAGACAGTGTCCAGGCCCTGAGTTCAAGACCTAGGACCAGCACACACACACACACACACACACACAGGACTAAAGCAAGGCAAAGGTTGGGACGTGGCCCAGTGGTAAAGCACCTTCCTAGTAAGTGTAGGGTCCTGAGTTCAAACCCTATTCTTGCCAAAGAAGAAGGAAAGGGGCGGGGGGGGGATTCAGAGAGGATTCTGGGAAGGGCAGTACAGAGTGGTCAGCAACCTGAACAAGGTGGTGGGGAACCAAGGAAGGTCACAGGGCACCCTGGGGAGGTCACTTTGTGTTCAACCCCCCAGTGGCCCCTTCCATGGATCCTTCAGATCTTGGCAAAGCCCAGACCAGGAGGGTCTGCCCTGTATTTCCCAGGCATGGCACCGTCCCCCCCCCAGCTCTGAAGGCTGAAGTGACATTGTAGCATTTTGTTTGGGATGGTAGGAAAGGATGGATGGGTGGATGCGTGCCCAGTGAGTGGGTGGAAAGATGGATGGATGGATGGATGGGTAGGTGGATGATGGATAAATGGATGATGGATAGATTGTTGGATGATGGATGGATGGGTAAGTAGGTGGAGGTAGGGATAGGTTGATGAGTGGGTAGATGATGGATAGATGATAGATAGGTGGATGAATAATGGATGAATGATGGATGGGTGGATGGATGATGGATGGGTGGATAGATAGTTGGATGATGGGTAGATGGATGGATGATAGATGGAGGGTTGGGTTGATCAGTGGTGGATGGGTGGATAGGTGGGTTGATGGGTGGATGGATGAAGGATGATGAATGGATAAGTGGGTAGATGGAGGAGTGGGTAGGTGGATGGATGGGTGGTTTGGTAGTGGGTGGATGGGTGGCTGTGTAGATGGAGGGGTAGGTTGATGAGTGGGTAGGTGGGTGGGTGGATGTGGGGGTGGGT